GGGAGCGCTATCATCGGGAAGTAACAACAGATCTTCATATTATTGCCTTTTAGCGTTTGGAGTAGATGCTTCAAGGTAACGCACTTGGCAAGCGGCTAGCCTGTATTCATGCCCACGTACTATTAATACAAAGCACAGTGCTAGCAAATGCTCGGAATCAAGGTGGCTTTTTTACTGCAACCATAGGGTGGATTCCAAACGGTACAGACTATGATGCTTTCTAAACTTAAAAACGGAACTAACTACATATGTATGATGATCATAGTTATTGTACTCCGCATAATTCATGATACCGGTTATTTTAACCGGTCAGGTTTAATGTTATTATGCAGCGAATACTAATCGTATACAAACATTAGGACCAGCAATGGATTGTCCGGAGTTTCCTTGATCGACTACAACATCTCGTTTGTCCTTATCTTGCGTTCATTTTGCAAAAATGCAAGTCGAGCGATATGAGTACACTAGTGCTCAAAAGAAAATGATGGTGATGAGCTACACCTTGTTCGCCCTACAGACAGAACAAGGGCTATTTAGCGGAAAGCGCACGAGAAGACTTGTTGCTGAGTGCCTTGGCTGTTCAACGGGTACGGTAGCGCGCGTAATTGCAGTGTACGACGCGAGTCACAAGACCGACTTTGAGGTAGAACTTTTTGCATTTGATATTTAACAGTTACATACCAATTTCCTTTAATATCTAATATGAGGATGCCTACATCAAGCCTAATTGGCTTTATCTGCAAAAGATGCACCTTTATAAATGGATACTTTTCATTTGCGATCTCACCTTGCTGTTGATGTGCACATCACGATGCGACACAACGATTGACGACTTCACTGGAGTCGTACAATGCATTGTCGGCATGTGTGAAAGCAGATCAAGAAAAAGACTGAACTACCGTAGTCTCCCTTTGATGTTCACATCAAGCTTAACTATATGTAAGTCCGGGCACTATTAGAACCCTGGCTGTTTTTGGTCACAAATTAAGGTCCGGAGTCTGGACTCCGGACCTTGTATTCATTTTAATTGTAGCCAAGATAAATAGAATCCGCGACACGATTTGACATGATTTAAATGCAGCAACATGTACTGTCTGGCGCGAATGCATGTTCGGGATACACTGTACATAAGACAATACTGTTGTGCAAGTACTTACAATACTGTTGTGCATGTTATACATGTACAAGTACTTACAATACAAACATACTGTACCCCTACTGTATTAATAGCTGTGCTTCACTAGTACATAATAGTGGTTCTCAGAGAATTACGATTCGTACAGATACGTGGTAGGATTTGATTGCCAGATTCGTGTATTTCCTTTTTGAAAAGATTCTTGATAAAACTTCGAAGTACTGCCTTTTATTGGACTCGACAAAAGTGATTGGACCAAGATTCTGGAACACATCAGAAAAAAATGGTCTAGCTCATCAAGTACTTAACCGTTTCTACAAATAATAATAATAATACCAATCGAATTGTAAATGAGTCGTGCTCTACTTATTGATATTCAATGCTGTCCTCATTTAATGAGGCGACCCACGAGTGAATAGCACCCCGATCAAAAGGGATTTGAAGTGGGTGCCGTAAATGTAGGGGAACTGAGAAGAAACGAGCAGCTATTGACCTTAATTAACCCCCGGGGGTTGCTGTCTAGTGACTAGTGTATTAGTGTATTTACATCTGGTTCATCGTTGTTTTATTGATTTTGACCGCGTACAACGCCAGCAAAAGGACTGAGTTTCCGGGATTTTGCTGTCAACTTCACTTATCTGATAATAACAATATATTTGTTTAATATTTGTTGAACAAAATCCTGAAGAAATCAGTTGATGTACTCGTGCTTGCGTTGAGCTAAACACCTGTACAACCGTATACAGTGGTGCACCTCGTTTTCGACACCGGTATGCCTCTATAACCTTCATAATTTGATGATTACGCTCAGTGCTTTGCGCAAATCGTTTGCCCATCACCGTTGGCTGAATTAACCTCAATGGTTTTGCCGGAGTGACACGTCGACCTCAACAGACAAATAAATACTGAAGCTTTCTTTATTTTTTGCTGCATCATACCATGGCACGTCGCCCCTCCGCCTATTCTGCGCTAAGTCTCGCTGACAAGCAGATGATATGCTGCAAAGCTGCTGAGCCATGGTGGACATTAACAAACGTTTCTACGTGGTCATCGACAAGCTTCCACCAAATACAACTGCTGCCTTGCAACCGATGGATCAAGGGATCGTCAAGGATCATTACCGGACAACAAAGCAGGAAGCGGAGTTGGACATGTTCTGTCGGGGCGAAAACAATAAACCAATCGATATTTAGAAACTGCTGGAGTCACAGCGGAATATAGTGTAAATGATGGGGCTGCGATTTATACTGAATTAACGTAATAAAAAGCACTACAATTGGCCCATCTGCGTTCCTGCATAAATTTTCGCCGTTGGCAGACTCTATATGGTCCACCCTGTCGAAAACGAGGTGCACCACTGTACTGACTTGCCTCATTTTTCTCTTCAAGTTGCAAATCGGAACGGTGCAGAATTGCACTTTCCATACCGTAAAAATTCCCACCGAGTCGGACCGATTCCAACCGGAACCGGTTTTGCAAAAATTCACTTTTGTGACATAATGAACTTAAATAGTGACTTGTGGACAGTTGAGGGTGGCTGGAGCTGGAAGTCGTTGTTGCTGGTATCGGTGGTCATTGTTGCTGGGCGTCTCGCTGGTCGTTGGTGCTAGCCTCGCTGGTCGTTGTTGTTGGGCGTCTCGCTGGTCGTCGTTGTTGGGCGTCTCGCTGGTCGTTGTTGTTGGGCGTCTCGCTGGTCGTCGTTGTTGGGCGTCTCGCTGGTCGTTGTTGCTGGTCTCGCTGGTCGCTGTGTCTGGGCGTCTCGCTGGTCGTTGTTCGTTGGTGCTAGCCTCGCTGGTCGTTGTTGCTGGTATCGGTGGTCGCTGTG